GCTTCCTTATTTGTGCACACAGAATATGTAGATAAGTTGAGCCTATCTCTTATTTCTTCGATTTAAACCTCGTCTGGCGCACTATTTTCGAACCGTAGTTTTATTCACATCGTCGTTTTAATTCCGTTTTTATCCCTTTCGTAAGGCACATCACAATCAATTTACTCATTTGTTATATAAAAATAGTGAAATGGTACGTTTATCCTGTGAAGCCGCAATCGATATTTGCATAGAACTTCTCTTATTCCATGCCCTTGAATCCATTTTTTGTTTGACCTCGATTTATAATCTAAATTGCATACATGCATTTTGGAACTAAATATCTCTCGGGAGAAATATTAAGAATAGCATGGCTTGGCCTTTTATTTGCTCTCTTTATACTTTCGTTGCATTGTCTTGAATTGATCTAACGACTTACTGAAAGTGATTTAGAGGAACATGTAAGTATTCAGTGCGCCAAACAATAAAAGAGTGCCATTTTGACTAGTCTTCGTGTAATCCGTTTAATGGTTTTCCTTCCTAAAAATGCGGACTGTAATGCTGCTGAAAAATATAAAATACTCCTGATTAATCGTCTGATTCTAGACTAAGACATAGCCAGATTAAAACCGGATGCTATCAGGTCTGTTCCACAAGGTCTGTCAGGAACAAGGCTGACTTAAATCTATATAAGTGTCGGTTATTATTTATCCTACTATCATGCTTATGGAAATAACATTATACTTTATGCTCTTATTTTGTGGCAAACTTTGTTACTTTTTTTATTATGCTTATGGTTAATTAAATTTGAGCGATTTATCTTGAATAAGATTTATAATCATCCTTGGTCGCATCAAATAATCAAAGAATAATAGTAAAATTCTCCCAAAGTTTTATGTGGTAGGTGTAATGATGCCAATAAATTCCATCTAATCTCGCCCTTCTAAAAGGTATCTTTATCCAAATTTGACTATAGCTTCGACCTTACATGTGTTTATATTTTGTTGTTGATGTTGATGAGACACTGGCAAGGTAGAAATTGCGGCCAAATCAGGCTGGGATGAGAATACCTTTTAGGAGGCAAGGGTAAATAAAATTTATTGGCTTTGTAAGGCCAACTCGTAACATTATAGGAAAATTCAGTTATCAGTTCTTCATCTTCTTATGAAGCCGAGCTCATACTCACGATCTACTTATAATCTCGAGCCCTACTAATAATGAATATATTATTGTTTAGTTAACCATCTTTTCTTGAATATTTAAATGGCTTTGCTCCAGTTTTTATTATCCGCCTAATCTTTTAATGTATTCCTAAACTCCTGTCTGTTCTAGGTGGTCGTGGCATCGTTCAGCTGCCCTACCAGACGATCGAGGCTACTGCGCGAGGTGGCTTGAAGGACTTCGAGGATGCTTGTGGATATTTGGAATTCCAGGATGACCAAACTGAGTAAGTCACTCTCGAATCTTATTGACTTTGTGGCCATCAACTAGTTTCATATTTGTTAGCTTTTAATCTAGTCTTATTTGCCCATATATTTAAATCAAATGCTTATCAGCTTATATATCACAGGCCACTTATATTAAATTATTCAAACCAAACGTTTATGGATGCTTCTCTACACCTTTCAATAAATTCTATTAACAAGGCAGGACTCTTATCTCTGGGATAAAATTTATAAAAACTACAGACCAATTTAACTACCTAATTGCCTTCGTCTATTACATTACTTTTCTCTTGTTCCCTTCTTTTATTTGCATTTCTAGTTAGCCTTACGCCTACACTTCAATCATTCTTCCTTAACGCTGGTTATTCTCTATCCAAAAACCTGTTTACTTCTATTTAGTCGTAAAGGTCTATCATAAGCCGATTGTTTTTTTGGATGAATTCGAGATGATGCCAGATTTTTTACTTGGATTTTCGTGTGCCGTATATCTGAAAGATGTTGTCACCCAGGTTGGAATACAATTACGACTTGGTTTAGGTAACATCTGCGCCTTAACATTATTATTTATGAGGACTTGTGAATTCAAAACCAAAAGCATTTTCACTAGGTCAAACATTGCCATTAAGCAATCGAATCGTATAGATATCCTTTTAAATTCTCAGAGTCTCGTCGAATTGATAAGCCCATTTGAAATCGCTCACAAAAACGGGC